GTTCTCTGCCATCCCCTCTCGGCGGCCGAGCGGAGCGCCGGCGGCTGGCGTCACTTGTCCCCCCAGTTGTTCTGGGGAAACTGAGGCTCACGCAGCCTGGCCACTGGCCAGGACGCGGCTGGGGGCAAACGTTTCTTTGGGCGGTTTGGCAGGGATGTGTCTGCGCACTGGAAAGCAAACCCCAGACCCACGTACCCGCCCCCACGGCCCTCCAGCCCCCGGAGCTGGGGGAACAGGAGGCGGCGGAGGGGACCAGGTGGCCTGCAGCCCGGGCTTGAGTACCGGTCAAGCAGGGCCCCTCCTGGTGCCTCGGGCTCCCCTCTGCGAGGCGCGCACGACAGCGCTGGAGGACACACTGCCCCCGACTCTCGCTGTCGGTCTCCTGCGCCGCGTGGGTTGCGGCCCCGAGGCCCAAACCTCCGCGTCTTCGCCGGGCCCTGACGTCGCGCTGACGCCACCAGGCCCCCTCCCCGCGGGGTCCGGCAGCCCAGAGTGGTTAACTCTTCCGCTGCCACGCGAGACCCCCAGGGTCCTTTCTCCCTCCACTCGCTCCCTGCCCGGAGAGGGTCCAGGCTGGGCCCCGACGTCGGAGTGTCCTGGACGGACCTGGAAGACAGGCCCTTAGCCCGGGCTGTTCCCTTCGCCTGGAATGCGGCTCCAGTCCCAGGTCAAGCCCGTGTTTACTGGGACATCGCTCCCTCCCGCCGGGCCCTGACCCCTCCGAGGCTGGGCGTGACCGCGTCTGGCTGGATCTCCCGGCCCGGGGTGGGGCCTCTCCTCAGCCACTTGCTGTTTCAAGGTCAGTTTCTTCCCATTTTTCAGATGAGAACCAATAAAGTCCAGGGAACTTCGGGACGTCACCTAGAGAGGGGCCGAAAGCCCGGGCCCCAGCTCTGGCGGATCCCTGCCCCCACCCCATGCGGTGGCGGGGACTGTCGCTGCCGGGGAGAGGACCCCCGCAGGCCCCGCCCTGCCCCAGGGGAAGTGAGACTCGGGCCCTCCCCCGCATTCTCGCCACTTCCTCCCGGGGAGCGGCGGCGGCGGGGAGAGGGAGGAGGTGGGGACGGCCTGGGAGTTCAGAGAACCTGCCTTGGGTGGGGGACGGGGGTCCCTCCATGATGACCGTACATTTGGTAGAAGACTGGCACTAGATGCCCCACGCGCTTGGGCTGACGGATGGCAAATCTGCTCCTTCCTTGGGGCCCTTCTTAAGCGACCTGTTGTCTGTTTTGATTCCTCGGTGTCCTCCCAGCTGGGTCCCAGAGCCTTCCACCCTATCTTCCCCTTCTGCTCTCCCACGCTACGCCACCGCTGGGATGCATCCCTGTCCCGCTGCGACGGTCTTCCCTGGGCGGGGGTAGAGGGGACTGGATTCCTCTGCGCTCCAGAGTTGAAGGCTTGCTTTGCTCAGAGCCTCAGTTTCTCTGCTGGGGACAAACGTCCCTCCAAGGGAACAATGTCTGAAAGACGGTTCCCAGTTTGACAGCAGGGATACACTTGCTCATCCGTTCATTCATTCCCCCCTGCTGCTGGGTGCCCTCCTGTTACCTCCTCCTTCATTCACTGCGTAGACTCACAAACCACAGGCTGTCTGGGAAGGACTCAGTGGCTCACAGATATGTGGGTGGGGACAGCCCCAAGACCAGAGGTGGGATCTTCCATTTTACTGAGCTAACCTGAATCCTCCCCAGAGAGGCCCGGCAAGGTCCCCAGAGGCAGCAGCCTGTCACTTCAGTCTCAGCTGGAAAGGGGTCTGCACCTCTCTGAGCCATCCACAGGAGCCTGCGCAGTGTCGCAGTGTCGCAGGCCAGGCCCACGGTAGTAGATGACCAGAGTGCTCCCTCAACTCCTGAGTTCCAATGTCAACTAGTCAGACACTGTGAGGACCTCGTGTGTGCTGGGGCCACTGAGCGGGCCTCTCTGGCTATGTTCTCACCTTCCTGGACGGCCTCCCTCCTTGAATGCCACTCAGCCAGCCAGGCCTAGGCCCTAGTGTCCCTGGGACAGAATGGCGGGGCTCATCGTTTTGGTTTTTTTCAGTTTCCTTCTATTTATGGCAAGAGAAAACGATTTTCCATTCCTGGTGGTGACACGAAGATCCCCTTTTGAAATCTATTGAAATAGAAACAGAAAAGGGGGTAGAGAGTGACATGGCCCTAAAGGGTGCTTCTTGGCTATGACTTACTTCCTGTAACTCCCCCCTCAGCTCTAGGAGGGCTGGGGGCTGAAGAGCTGGGCCCAGAATGCCCAGCGCAGGCGCACCAGGGACTGTCCAATGAGCCAACCATGATGCCCCCAACCCAAATCCAACCGACTCCTCAAGGTGATCTAGTAACAGTGGATTCCTGATCTTCTGACCAACACCTACGCACACCTGCTGGACCCCAACATCGGAACCTGTGAAAGGACCTAACTCCACTGGTGCATACAGCAGGTGCACATTCAGTGCACACTGGGGGAACGCAGGCACTGCTCCTAGGAGCTCTTTCCTTCAGGTGCTAGAGACCTAAGGCTGGAGTCCTTCAGCCCCTTCACAAACACTGATCTGCGCCACTCCTTGAGGCCTTTGAGGAGGCTAGGGGCACCAGTCTCAGGGACAACTGGACTCTGTTGTCATCAATGCGGGATGTGCCAGGTTCAATCAATGTCCAGGGACCTGTTGCGCCCGCTGCCTTATTTGTAATATGGCCTTCTGAGGCTGAAGGAGCCGGTGCCACCCAAAGGGCAGAAGCTGGGTCCCCTCCATAGGGCTAGTCAAACACCTGCACAGGGACGGGACAGGACGGCGGTTGCGGCTCCAGGGGAGGGCGGAAGTGGGGCAGTGGCGAGGGGGGAGCCGCAGCCCTCCGCGGTAACCTGATCCTCAGGAATGCGCCGAGGCCAGACGCGCCCCCAGCCCCAGGCCGCGGCCCCTCCCCCAGCCACCCCGCGGGATCCTGCCACCTGGGGGACTGTTCTCCGTCCCCAAGCCCTGCCCCCACTAGCCAGTTTGTTTTCTGGGCAGAGTTACCCTGTCCCAGCCCTCCAGGGTCCTGAGCTCTGGGGGACCATCCCCAGCAAGCCCCGCCCCCAGGAGGCCCCCTAGCCTTATCCCCCTTCTGCTCCTCTAACTCCTATTCTTTCCTCTCCCGGGGACTTTCTGTTTTATCAAGTTGATGGTAGGTCCCTGGGTGTTGAATAAAGACTGAAAATTCAGCCCAGTGGCAGATCACTCTAAACCAGAAAGTCAGTGTCTTAGTACTGGGCGGCGCAGAGGTCAGAACCTGGGCTGGCCAGACAGAAGGGGGAGGGCACATCAGATTCAGTGTCTGGAAGGCCAGGTCCCTCTCCAGCCCTGGCTGGGGGAGCCCAGGCAGGTCAGGTCGCCAGTCCTCCGCAGGCACTGCTCTGGGAAATCCGATTAAAATCTCACAATTTGCTGGGAAGATACAAGTGAAAATATGGAGTCCAGGGCTGAGCCTGGTTAATGTCCCTTCCTCCAGCCTCATCTGGGACCCCACTGATTTTGGGACAAATACCACTTGGGTGTTTGGTGAAAGCCTCACCATCTCTTTTCCACTTTGGCTCTGTGGCTGCCAATTTAATCCAGACTTGCTGCCCCCTAGCTCTCCATCAATGCGAAATGCTGGTCCTTGCCCCGGGACCTTTGCACTTGCTGAACCTACTGCCTGGGACACTGATTTCCCCATTACTTGGTTATTTGCTCCAATTTCTCTTTCAGCATCATCTTCTAGGGTGCCCCTCACACACTAACACAATCTAAGACATCCTCTGCTTTACCAACGAGGCCACCATTTATTCTCCCAAAGGCTGCAATTATATTCCTGTTAGTCTGGGTGCATGGAGGGTATGGAGGTTTGTCTCAGTGTGTGTCCAAGCCAGTGCATGTGGAATAAGTGAGTTATCCCTAGTTCACTGCATGGATTAAGCACACTCCCACCTTGTCTCAGGAAATCCCTGTCTCTGAGGGACCCCCAGTCTGGGAGGACTAAAGCCGGACAAGATAGCTGTTCCTCAACTTTATGGGATCAAGTTTGGGACAAATGGAGGGACGAAAATGGAATATCTTGGAGGACTCCCTAGCTGGGAGGAAGAAGAGGGCAGGGAAGGGGATTGGGCAGGGGAACCCACAGAGGGGGGACAGGCAGGCTGGCTGCCCAGGGCAGTTCTCTATACTGAGGCCCCGACCTCCCCTCTCCCTGTCTGGGAGAGACAAGGTTTGCTGCAGAGAGAGGACGGGTTTAGGGTTTAGCCAACCTTAGGGAGTCTAAGGGGACTCCTAGGAGGCATAATTAGGAAAGGCTTCTTGAGAGGAGGCAGTGGAGGTAGGTTTTGAAGGATGAGTAGGAAGGAGTTTGCCAAGAAGCTATGTAAGGGCAGTCCAAGCTGAGAGATCACAAAACCAAATGACTGCAGTTCAGTTTGGCCAAGTAATAATGAAGCAAAACAGTTATTGAATCCTTACTATTTCTTCAAATCCTCCCTATAAAACAGTCCATGTGGTAAGTAAGCTTCTTCACTCCTTTTTCTTAAGGCTGGAACCGAGGCTCACCAAGACAACACTTTGGCCTATGAAGGCCCACTTGCTTGAGAAGGGTCTCTTGGCCCAGGCTGGCTTGGCCCACAGTTCATCCCCCCACCTGCCAAGGTCAGGACTACACCTCCTTGCCTCCTACTCAATCCAGACTCTTAGAGAAACACCACCCCTCTCTTTCAATCTAGTCCCACTACCAGAGGCTCAGACTGAGGCCCCAGGACAGGGATGTCTGGAGGCCAGGGGCAGGGGCTGGGTCTCCTTTCACTGGGGGTCACAGCCTCTGGGGGAGGTTCGGGAAGCACAGCAATCCTGTCTGAGAGGTCCTGGAGGGGATGTCTGGCCATCTCTTCATTCTGGATGATTCCAAGGCTACAATGGGAATAAAGGGGAGGGGGATTCTCTGAGGACACACATTTGCAGGAGGAGCGGTGGTAGGGGTGTGATCTGGGAGAGGCAACTGCAGTTTGTAAAGGACCTGAGGTGGGAAGGAGCTGGGCCCAGCAACTGGGAGATACAGAGAGGCTCGGCTGGAGGGGCTGAGGGGTGGGCGGGGAGCCTGAGGGATTGTGTGAACTGCAAGTTTGTCAGATCCAGATGTTTCCAGGATATCTGGAGCATAGGTAGGGCCCTCCTTCCACCTCCCCTACAGCCCTTTCCCAGGGAGCCTTAATGGTGGCCCATTAAGCCCTAACAGCCATGATCTACTAATAAACAGGTAATAATTACTAGCTGGGATTCCTGCCTCATCAGCTCAGCCTCTGGAGTCGGGAAACCTGCCCAAGGACCCACATCAGGCCCTGAGAGCCTCAAGGTTAAAAACGTGGGCGGCTGAGGGAAGCAGGAGCCCTGGTGCCCGGACTCCCA